CCACCTGGGCTGCCCTCATAAACATTTTCAATATTGCTAGTTTCTAATTCACCATTTTGAATTGCTGTATTGTTTTTCCCTTTAGTAGTTATACTACCATTCATTTGGTCATTCTCCTTGTGTAATTTCTAATGTTATACCATGTAACTCTTGGACGTCTTCATATACACATCCTCCTTTCTTGAAGTTATTTTTATTTTTTTAAATTTATTTATTTATTTATTTAGAGTGAGCGAGTGAGTGAGCAGAGAATGGGGCAGAGGGAAGGAGAGAGAGAGAGAGAATCGCAAGCAGACTCTATGCTGACCGTGGAGCCTGAGCACTTGATCTGATAACCCTGAGCTTATGACCTGAGCCGAAGCCAAGAGTTGGACGCTTAACTGGCTTAGCCACCCAGATGCCACTCTTAACACTGTTTTTAAAATAAAATGCCCAAAAGAGAATTACTAGGCCAATCAGTTGAACATCCCATTTTTCTTGTTACATATTGCACAACTGCTTTCTAAAATGATCCACAAATTTATATGGCTCTTAGCTACGTTAAGTATGGGTGTGCCAATTTCACTAAAACCTTTCTAGCACTGGGCATTATTGTCCACAAGTATATTTTAAGCATCTACTCTCTGAAACACATTGCACTAGATGCTATAGGATACCAAAAGGCAGCAATCTGTGTTCTAGAGAGATTTACAATCTAGTTAAGGAAATAGATTATAAGCATATAATACACACCTAATAGAAGCTGATTACAGGATATGGTGGGCTTGAGTTTTTTTTCCACTTCCCTCATATTTTGTACCTTTTGGGAGCATAGTACAAACCAAGCTCCAATAATAAAAAAAAGGGCATTTTTCTATTGATTTTCTTTTCCATATTTAAATATTTGAGTAGGTAATATTACCACATGACTCCAAAATTTTGACATATGGAAAGACATACAGTTAAAAAAAAATTCTACTGGGGATCCCTGGGTGGCGCAGCGGTTTGGCGCCTGCCTTTGGCCCAGGGTGCGATCCTGGAGACCCGGGATCGAATCCCACATCGGGCTCCCGGTGCATGGAGCCTGCTTCTCCCTCTGCCTATGTCTCTGCCTCTCTCTCTTTCTCTCTCTGTGACTATCATAAATAAATAAAAATTTAAAAAAAATTTTAAAAAATTCTACTATATGGGTCCTCTACTATTACCCAGTTTCCTTCTCCACAAGAAACTGGTGTTAATTGTTACTTGGATATACTTTCCAGTAATATTTTATGATATATAAATAAATGCATATAGATAGATGATTATTTCTTCTACTCTTCCACTGTGTTTTACACAAAGGGTAGCATACCAACTCTCTGCACCTGGCAACCATGCAGGCAGTTCAGAGGGTCAGGAATTATCAGGTAGATCAAACTGAATAGCGTGCAAAGGCCACTTGCCATACCCAAGAAAGGTTGAGCCTGAGATGGGGTCATTTTGCACATTTTTCTAAACTATAGATAGACAGAGACAGAGGGGAAGTTTTTTTCTGTCAATGACTGGTTGCAGTGCCCACCCTTCTGGGATAGCTAGGAGGTTACAGGGATATGAGCTGGGTTCAGACAACGTCCCAGTAGGCGCTTGGGCTGACCCAGTGAGTTTCCTCTCTACTCTCAGCTTTGTGCTGTCTAGATAGACAAACAGGATTTTGGTTAAGGATATTCAGCTGGCTGATTCAGGGTAAGGCACAAAACGGCCAAATTCTACAGCTCATCTTCTAAAACTTCTTCCAGGAATGGAAGATTCTTAAAAAGGTGAACAAGGAGAATGTGCATGATTGCCTATCCAAGGCTGGAAAAAAGCTTTAAGCACTGAGCATGTGCTTCATCCATAACAAGTATTCAGCAAATGCCTCCTGTGGCCTGAGAAGAGAGAGATGGCCCTGGCTTTTCGGGATGGGAAGGCTGCATCCAGAAGGCAGGACACACAGTGCTTCATTTGCATTTTTATTTGACTAGTATTATCATAAAAACCTTAGCTTTACTTACTTTAGCTTGGCAATGTTACCTGGCTCTGCCTTTTTATGCTCTCTCCCATCTTTTAGTTTTATAGTTTACCCGGATGCTACTCATTTCCTTATTTCAATTTTTTTCTTACTGGATTTCTCCTGGAGAGAGGGGTCCATAAAAACTGGCCTTTTTTTTTGCAGGAAAATTTAGAAATAGCTAATAAGATCATCAGAAAGGACCGACTCTAACTCATTTGATGGATATGGAAACTCAGGCCAAGAGAAGCTTCCAGTAAGTTAACCGTGGTTAGTTGAACCAGGCTGAATAGGCCCTCTTCCTTTTGGATCTTTCTTATGGAGGATCTGAGGCAAAATTCAATCTTCTCGCTTATCAATAGCTTTTACCTTGTATGGAGGTCAGCTGATAAGCCTCAGGTTTTAAGTATGCTGATTTGAAATGATTTTTACCATTTATTACAAACCCACCACCAGAATGGCTAAAATTAAACAGAAAATACCAGGGAAATAAAGCAACTAGAACTTTGAAACATTGCTTGCAGGTTTGTAAATTGATCAGAACTGCTTAATCCTGTGTCAACCATACTAAAAACAAAAATAAAAAGCAATTCTGCTTATCTACTAAAGTATAACATATACCTACCCTATGACCTATCATTTCTACTCCTACGTGTTTATCCAAGAGAATTAAGTACATTTATATATCAAAAGATAGGTACATAAATGTTCATTGCAGTCCATTATTTTAATGGCTAAAAACTGGAAACAATGCAAATGTCCTTCAACAAGAGAATAGATCAATAATTTATGGTGTATTTATACAACGAAATACAACACTGCAGAGACAAAAACCATTCCATTTATATGAAATTCAAGAACAGACAAAATCTACTTTATGGTAATAGAAGTCAGAATAGAAATTTTGGAGGGAGGGAGGGAAAGCAAAGGTATACTGATATGAGAGAACCCTTGGGATTCTGGAAATGTTCCAGATTTCTCTAGATGGTAATTAATTACACAGGTATAAATGTAAGTAAAAATTCAGCTTAAACATTTAAAATTTGCTCATTTCCTGTATACCTCAATTATTAAAGTGCCTTATATTGGATCTGCATTGTATTAAAGGCAATGCAATAAAAACACTTCTAGCATTTCAAAAATATTCTATTTTTAAAATTCAAGGCTATCAAGTTTACTGTTTTCGTTATCCCATATCCAGCAGATTGCATCACCTCCAACTGGTTTGCCTATTATCAATTCCTCCTCTCTGAAAGGTCGTCCTGCCAAGCACATATTTGATTTGGCTAATTGCCAGTTTAACAAACTTCCCCGGCCTCTATGTGTCTGTGGGACACAGGACAAACACCTCACTGAAGCAAACAAAGACTTTCCTAATTCACTCTTTATCTGCCTTTCTAGATTCAGGGTGACTTCTATTCTCCATGCCCTTAACCCCCAGCACACAGAACCTTCCATATCTCTTCACCTTTGGACTCCTGCCCCCAGGCTTCCACTATCCTACCTCTGCTTCTTCCTCTATCAAATTCCTCCTCACATTTCATTGTCCAGGTCTCAAGGATTTCCTCTCAAATGTCCACCCATAGTTTCCAAAACCCTCAGTTCCCACTTTCCTGCCTTTGTAAGCTCAGTGCATTCACCATATACAAGCTCCCATATTTTATACTCCCCACCCCCTGAATTAAATGTTTCCGGAGAGCACACAACATTTCTCTTCATCTCTGGATCCCTTTGCTCAGCACTTTGCTAAACAAAAGGGGGCTAACGGAACTGAATTATAAGTTTCACTTCTGTCCCAGACTTCTGGTTTTCACAGTAATGCCGCTTCCTATTAAATTCCTCACCGTAGCAGACCCAAAAATGAAAGTGGATACAGACGAGATAGCTTAAATGAGACATTAATTAGTGTTGTATCTACTTTGGGTTTCCTATTTTAAGAGAGACAAGTCTCCTGCTCTGTCCAATAGGATAGTGGCTAGTATGTCACTGTTTAAATGAATTAGAAGTAAATAAAAGAGAAAATTCAATTGCTCGCTCTCACTAGCCACATCTCGAGGACTCAAAAGCCTTGTGTGGCTAGTGGCTACCATACGGAGCAGCGCAGAATGGAATATTTCCATCACGCATAAAGTTCTATGGGCTCGGGGGATCCCTGGGTGGCTCAGCGGTTTAGCGCCTGCCTTCAGCCCAGGGCGTGGTCCTGGAGTCCTGGGATCGAGTCCCGCATCAGGCTCCCTGCATGCCTGCTTCCCCCTCTGCCTGTGTCTCTGCCTCTGTCTGTGTCTCTGATGAATAAATAAATAAAATCTTAAAAAAAAAAAAAAAGTTCTGTGGGTTCACGCTAAAAATCTCTCTAGCCTTTAGGCTTAGGAGATCTCCCCTCTTTAGAACACCCTTCCATCCTCTTCCCACAGTGCTTCCCCTATAATCATCATCGTCCTTATTATGTTTGCAATTGCAGGATTCCAGGACAGGCAGGAACTGTCTCTTGCTGCTGTCGCTCCAGTGTTTAGCTTTGAAGCCCAGCGCAATTAATAGACACTCAATAAACGCCGAATTAAGAGGCGATAGAACCTTCCAGATACAGCAGTCCCACGCCGATCAGTCCTTCATGCCTGCATCATTTTTAAAATGAATTTATTTATATATTAATTAGAGACACAGAGAGGGGCAAAGACATAACAGGGAGAAGCAGGGGAGCCCCAATGTGGGACTCGATCAGCACGCCCTGGGCCAAAGGCAGGCGCTTAACCGCTGAGCCGCCCAGGCATCCCTCACTTTTCTTTTTTAAGCCTGTCTTAAAGCATCGCGCGGGGGAGGAGGGCAAAGCGCCCCGCATGCACCTGCTGATTCCCGACCTCCCCGGCGGCCTCCTCAAGCTGCGGCGTCACGGGCGCAGGCCCCGCCTCCTCCCGCCTCTGCGCGGCCCGGCCCCGCCCCCTCCCGCGGGAGCCCGCGCCGCCCCCGCCCCCAATCTTCACTGCGCAAGCGCAGCCCGAAAGCGTGGGGTGTCTCGAGGTTGCCGGCTGCCGGCGCTCAAGAGCGCGGGGGTTTGTGGCCTGCGTTCGGCCGGCTCCAGTCGCTCACTCCCCGAGGCAGGCAGCGAGGCGCCGCGACCGTCTCCCCGCGCCCCGGGCAGTGTGGCCATGGAGAATCAGGTGCTGACGCCGCACGTCTACTGGGCTCAGCGACACCGCGAGCTGTATCTGCGCGTGGAGCTGAGTGACGTGCAGGTAAAGGCCGGTGCGGATGGCGGGACGAAGGCGGGCTCGCATCCTGGGACCCGCCGATCTCCCCCATCCCCTTTGTCCCGGAGCGCGCGGGAGAGCCTGCAGTGCGCCAGCGGGTTCGGCGCCCCGGTGCACTTTGGGCGTCCAGGCCCAGGCAAAGGCCGGCCCTCGTCGAGGAACACCGCACACCTGGGGCCTGGGGCGCGACCCCCTGAGGGCTGCAGGTGCCTTCGGAGGCTGCGTGAGCCCTTCGCGGCCCTCGGAGACTGCCCCGGGCCTTCTCTTTGTTCGCAGTCTGCGGCCTGATGGAACCCGCTCTCGGCCCCGGAGGCCTGGCCGTCGAGGTTCGGGTGTGCCGAGGCCCCTCGAGTCGTGGGAAGAGCTCCTTGGGCCCGGGGTGCAGAACGACAGCGGCTTGCAGGGTGCTGGCTGGACGTCCCGCGCTGGCCAGGGAGGTCCCGCCGGGCGGGTCCGACGTTCACAAGGCCCGCCTCTGCCCCCTACCCCCACCCCGAGGGGCCACACCCACCTTCCAACCGTTCAGTGATGGAGATCATTCTTATTAATTTTAATTTTAAAATCCACAAGACCCAGAGAAAGTGGATTTCCCCCCCCCCCCCCCCCGTTTTGAAGGGTTGGGAGCTCAGGCTTGCGGAGTTGCATAGAGAACTTAAAAATTAAGTTACATCGAGAATTTATGTTTGATTTCCTTAGCCCCCTGTGTGAACAAGCTGATGCCTCCTAAATGGTTGGAGATACCAGGACCTGTGTACGCCCTGCCTCTGTCCAAACCATTCAGGATTCCAGGTTTTGAGAAACTGGAGTTTTTATCTCGAATGTTCTTTCTCCAGTCATCCTGACTCCCTACTTCTCCTGAGTCAGTTGTTTATGTTTCTATCTGTCCGCCTGTCTGGCATATTTCTTGCAAAGTGTAGGTGCTCTTTGAAGTGTGGATTTGATTTTGTTGAATTGAATCTCTGTTTCTGAAATTTAAACCTGTTTTCCCGCTGAAGGATAAAGACAGTCCTGGCCATGCCTTTAAATAGGATGTGGCATTGCATGGTGTGTCATTTAATGTGTTAAACCAAGCTGGATTATATTTTTGCATCAGAAGATGAGTAAATGTTCTGTACTGTCTCCCTCTATTCTGCTCCAGGGTGTTGCAGTAAAGAAGGAAACAAATAATCATTATTGTTGGGGATCAAAGTCTCCATCTGGAGAGGGTTTTCAGTAAGTGTGGAACATGTGTTATGACAGTCTCTTTTTAAAAAGTAATTTAGTCAAGCATTATGTAGACCAATTAAACTCAGGCCCTACCCTCTCTAGGTGTCATCATGTAATTAAGGATGTACTATTCTGGGATACTTTTCAAAGCCACAAACACTAAAGGTGTTTTTAGGGGACTAGGATGGTGGTGGTGGTCAGAAGAAATAGAAATTAGTTGGACAAGTGAAAGAATGCATCATATTTATGTTTGCCTTGAGAGAGCTAAACCTCTTAGTTAAGAAAGATGAATATGTGTTAATCATATTTGGTATATTTAGAAGTATGAAAGGCATACATTTGTAATGTATTATGGTTAAAGAAATGAAAAGGTGGAGGAAAAAAATGGAAGTTTCTTTTGGAGAGAGAAATCCTTTTATTTCTGGGAAAAAATACCTCCCCTCCCCCCCAAGCAATGTGTTAATACCACTCATAAAAGAAATCTACCATGTGTGAGGTACTAGAGATTTACAGAGATGAGTCAGACAGCCTTGGCTTTCGAAGAGCATACTATCTAGAAGAACCATACAGGCAGAAAGTTTTGTGTAGGCATATGTTTATGGTTGAATTGGAGTTAAATATGAGCCAGGTCTCTGGTGTTAAAGGAATTTGTTACCTCTCTCATGTTTAGTTAGAGATGGCTTCCAGGAATGAGATGAAGTTTTCTTGTCAAACTGAGATTAGAAGAACTTTCTAGAAAGAGAAAGGCATAGACTCTTAGGTTGTCTGACTTATACCATGTCAATGCACGACAGCCAAAGACTGCCAGGGAAACACCTCTGGTTAAAAAGTTGGGTTTATTACACATTTCAACAAGGGAGAGCATAGCCCATGGGGGACAATGCTGTCTCATTAAGGGAGTTAGAACTGATTATAGGATTTGGATGCTGTCAGAAAACAGAGGCAATTCTGTGGTTGGTTATCAGAATAAATCTTATCTGTAAGGAGGAGAGACTGGTAAAAGAATAAAAGTAATTGGTAGAGAAGTAGCAGTCTCATTTTGGCCAAGAGAGAAGTATTGCCTGGTATTTTGGGGGTGGCATAGTGGCCACATTTTTGTCTGTGCTTATGCAAAATTATGAAATGACCTATGTCTCATTTCATCAAGGTTTCAGAATAACCTTGTCCAAGGTTGGTATTCTGTGACATTACATTCAATAGGAGAATTACATGGCCGAGTTGTGAGTGACAGGCCACCCCTGAATGTGAAATTCTCACTTAATTGCTCCATCTAGGGCTGTGGAACTGGTAATTCAGGCTCTGGATTGAGCAATTCACTTATTCAATGAAAACCGTTTGTGGAGCTCCTACTCTTATCTCATTAAGCTAGCTCCTGGGTTGTTGGACAGCTCTCTGTTGCTCCCTGTTTTTTGGCGTTTCCCACACCTTGTATGTGACTGACATTTACTGTGGAATTGCAGTTTGAGGGCATCAGCTTTGTTCCCTTCCCTTTCTAAGACACAGAGAACTGTCCAGTTTTCACATCTTTATTCTGTCCTTGGAGGTGCAGGGCTAGTGCCTGCTGAGAAACCACTACTGATGTGAGGGAGGAATGGTGTACAGTAAAGACTTCCAGTGGCAGCATTGTCTGTGTTTGAGGTAAGCAATAGCAAAGATGCCAGCTGGAGTTCAGTGGGCTAGGGCAAGGTTATTTTCAAATAGAGTTTATTTTCAAGATAAGCATAATAGACCAGTTTGTGCCAACAACCATAGCTGTTAAAGCATTTGTTCGTTTATCAAGGTTTTGGTTTGTAGATTTTAGTTGTATATAGACAAAGTGCATACCTTTGTTTGGAAGCTGTCCTTGTCCTTACTTGCTGGACAGTCTGGTAGAAAGAGAGGTAACCAAAGACATGAGATTGGGTTCTTGTGCTTCTACCTCCCATCTGGTGGCTATGGATGATTCACATAATCCTATGTGCCTCAGTGTCTTCATCTGAATAAATGTGGATACACCTAATTTACAGGATTGTTTTGAGGTCTGAATGGATAATGGATTTGAAAGTGCTTTGTAAATTCTAGTTTGCTATTCTTTTTTATTGTTTAAGATTTTATTTATTTATTCATGAGAGAGAGACACACACACACACACACAGAGGCAGAGACACAGGCAGAGGGAGAAGCAGGCTCCATGCAGGGAGCCCGACGTGGGACTCCATCCCAGGTCTCCAGGATCAGGCCCTGAGCTGAAGGCAGCGCTAAACTCCTGAGCCACCGGGGCTGCCCATCTAGTTTGCTATTTAAGTGAAAGGATTACTATTATAATATTAAACTTTAGGTGAGAGAGAGAGAGAAACACAAAGAACAGTAGAAAAGGGTAGAGTCTATTTATTTAGCAGAGTTTTCCATATATCAAAACATATTGTATAGCAGAGGTGGCTTTGCATATTAATAGGAGAAAGGATCAACCATTCATGAGGTTGTTTGGGGATGGTTGGTAATCCAAATAGCAAAAAGATAAAATAAGATCTTGCCTCATGTCATACACAAAAGTCAATTCCAGATAGTTAATGACCTGAATGCATAAGGCAAAACTAAAAGAAAATAGGGGAGACTATCTATATGGTATTGCAACAGGGAAGAATGTATTAAACAAGACACACAAAACATAAATCTTAAAGATTAACAAATGTAAGGCAAGTTGGAAGAAGATATCTACACCTATCACTGACAGATAACTAGCATCTGAAATATATAAAGAACCACTTACAGATCAATAAGAAAAAGAGGTATTACCCATTAGAAAAAGGGGCAGAAAATATAAGCAATTCAGAGTAAAAGGAAATAAGAACGGCCAATAACCCTGAAAAGATACTTGATCTCAATTGTAATAAGGGATATGTAAATTAAAGTGATAGTATTTGTTAGAAAATGGTGATTTTTTTTTTACATTAGATTGGGACAAATGAAAAATCCAACATTACCAATTGTTGGTGAGATTGTTCAGCAATAGGACATTTTTATACAATTCTCCCCCCAACCCCACCAAAGACCACCAGAAACATCTTGTTTTTAAATTTAATTTTATTTATTTAAATTCAGCTAATTAACATATAGTGTATTATCACTTTCAGAGGTAGAGTTCAGTGATCCATCAGTTGTATATAACATCCAGTGCTCATTATATCACATGCCCTTGTTAATGCCTGTCACCCAGTTATCCCAATCCCCCTCTCACAACCCTCAGTTTGTTTCCTATGATTAAGAGTCTCTTATGGTTTGTCTCCCTCTTTCATTTCATCTTGTTTTATTTTCCCCTCCTTTGTCCTATGTGCCTTTATTTTGAGAAACACCTTGTTTTAACAGTGGGTTTATTGCTTGTTTCAATGAGGGAGAACACATTTTGGGAACTGTGGGATGTCAATAAGAAGGTTTTAGAAATAAGTGGTTATAGGATTTGGGCTTTGGTTGGATGATTGGGAAAGGGCCTAAGGAAGTAGGGATTCATTTTAGATGGGATGCTATTAGAACGTGGAGACAATTCTGTGATTGGATATTTTGTGGATGGCCCAGTGAATGACTTGTTCTTAGACAAAATTAATGAGTTGACCTTATGTTGTGTCATTTTATCATGGTCTGAGTAACCCGAGTTGGTTTGCTATTCTTTGAGATTGTTTATGTTCAATAGGAGAGCAAAATGACTTTGCTGTGAGTTTTAGACCAGTTTGTAATAATTTTCAGATCTAGCTGTGAATGTTAGATCAGTTTCAGACATCAGGACTGCCTATTTTCTTGCTTAA